TCAATGAATTTCATTAATCTTTTGCACATTAGTTTTTCCAATAATTTTGAAAAACAAGAAAGAACTGATATTGGTCGATAGTTTGTAAATTTATTATTTTCATTTGCTTTGTAAACCGGAGTTACTACGGCAACTTTTAATTTGTCAGGAATAATTCCATTGAGAAATGTTAAATTGAAAATATGTGTCAATGGTTTAGAAACTTCCTTTGCATGTGATTTAACTATTTGAATGCTAATATCGTCGTGTCCAGGACTTTTATTTGGATTCATACTATTTATTTCAATTACTAATTCATTTTCAGTAATCGGATCAAGAAACATACTGTTGGGATAATTACTAGTGAGGTAATTATCAAAAGTCATGTCTGGGTTCTCTTTAATTTTTTTTGCTAGATTTGGTCCAACATTGATAAAGTATTCATTGAATCCATTAGCTATTTTCTTTGGATCATCTATTATATCCATGGAATTGTTTCCAACAAATGATTTTGGCATTTCCTTCTTTTTTCTATTTTTATTAAGAGCTTTATTTAAGGTATACCATATCATCTTTTTATCGTTTTTATATTTTATTAGTTGCTCTTCATAATACAGTTTCTTTGACACTTTTATTATATGATTTAATTTATTTTTATATCTTTTATATGTATTTTCAATCCTTTTATTCGAGTTTAGTAAGTATGCCTTGTAAAGTTTATGTTTCCTATTTACTGATTTTAAGATGGAGTATGTCATCCATGGGCTCTTATTATTATCAATCTTTTCTTTAATCAATTTTACTGGAAAGCTTGTTTCATAAGCTTCTGTAAAAGATTGGGAAAATTTGTCAAAAGCCTCTTCAGGATTATTATTATCAATTACATTGTCCCATGATATATTTTTTATTGTATTTGTGAAAGATTTAATATTTGCATTATTAATTACTCGTTTATATTTTGAGGTTTTGGTCACTTTTTTTCTTATATTAAAACTATTACTATCCATATTACATATATGTACTATTGGCAAATGATCTGAGATGTCGCTAAAAATAATTCCGTTGAGACTAGAATCAATATTTTCAATGCTGTTGGTGAAAATATTGTCAATAAGTGTTGCAGTGTGAGCAGTTATTCTTGTTGGCTTTGTTATGAGTGGATAATAAGAAGATGTGAAAAGTTGTTCGGTAAATTGGCCTGCATAATCACAAGATTCCGATTTAAGTAGATCAATATTAAAGTCCCCTATAAGATAGCCAATTTTATTTTCTTTATCGATTTTCTCTAATATTCTTTTCATTGAGTTTTCAAATGTGTCAATCTTATTATTTGGTGGCCTAGCTATAGATTGTTCCTACAATTATATTCTTACCTTTAGATGTACATATTTCAATAAAAGAGGTTTCAATTCCGTTATCTACGTTTATACTTATATCATTTCGAGTTTTATATTGCAGTTGTTTCGAGACATACATGCCTACTCCTCCACCTCTTTTATTTTCTCTATTTGATCCTACATAATCATAGTCTGGTAAATTAAAATTGTCTTTGTTTATATCATTCAACCATGTTTCGGTTAATCCTATAATTTGAAACGATTTATTTAATGACGTTACTAAATCTTTCAACATTTCAAATTTATTTGTTATACTTCTTATATTTAAATGTAGTAGCGCAAAATTATTTTTGTTATTAATTTCTTTAGTTTCTTCGTTAAAATAATTTGGTAAATAATAATTGCAGTTAACTTTATTCACCTCAAAAGACATGTCAAGGTTGACATTGTTTTCACTTAAGGCTATATCATTATTTTTTTGAAATGGATGGAATTTCAATTGGTTTAGTCTATCCATATCAATTTGACAGAATCTGTTTTCCGAATCGTGGTTTATAAGATTAAATTCATTGTTGGAGAGTGAATGAAATGGCAAGGAGTCAGTAGTGTTACTACCAGACATAACTAAATATTAAAGTTACTGAACTGAGGCAATATAATAAAAGCATACATACTAGTACTGACAGTACTATAGTGCACTGAAATATGATATCTTAGCATCATGTCGGCTTGTAAAATACTTGTCCTTCGATTATGAGTTTGTCCCTTACAAGTTTTGCCTTCTTTCCCGCTTCCCTGGCTTTTTTCAACTCTGGATATAATTCCCTACGTATCTTAACAATTTCGTCAGGAAATTGTTCTCCGATTGCTATGTTTGAACCCCTTAATTTCTTTGCGTTGAGACGAATATTCTCCGGGCCTGATCTTGATAGAAATTAAATTTCGCAATAATTGGTCGCGGCTTTTCCGCTGCTTGTTTCTGTCTACCCAATCTGTGTGTTCTATCAATCTTGATTTTCTTGGATGCGTCTTCTAAGTGTAGCTTTTCCTCAAGTAACTTATGGATAATATTTGTGGTATCTTCGTCTTTAGATTCGGGAATGTTATAAAAAATCAGATTATCGCGCATTGACCTTGATTTAAGGTCAATGACGCTCTTGTTTAGAATTTCGTTCTCTTTCTCTTTCTCTAGTTTCTCGATTCGCTCTTTTGTTGTTTCATCAGTTTTCTTTCGATTTTCGTTGTCTTTCTTAAGTTCTCTTATTTCTGCGTGTGCGAATTCAATTGATTCCTTCACACTCTTTAAATCGCTTTCTACCGTCTTTACTCTCGTGTCAATGGAATCCAATTTCTCAAGTTTCTTCATCATAGCCTTCATCATATCATGGATACTTTTTAAATTTATAGTTTCTCCGTCCTCAGATTGATCTACGATGTTCTCCTCACTGTTAGCTTTTGAAATTTTGCTTCGAACTGGTTTTGTGGGCGTAGTAGTGCTAGATATATTCAAGGATTGCGCAGTGCGCTTACCAGCCTGTTTCTTCGACGCCATCTTGAAAAAAAATGGTTATGGTTACATATACAGTTGAAACAAACACGCTAAACAAAGCCATTAAGACGATTTTTTAAAATTATTTGTGATTACAGCCCGGACTGTGTCGAGTTTCAGTCTGGGTCAAACCGGGCTGGTATTTCAGCCCGGGATGAAGCTTGATATTAATTGTTCATAGTTGTCAACTGTCAGAACCTACAGTAGCTCATGTTTCATTCGGTGTCGGGATTTTCCGATGCGAGAACGCGGTTTTTAGCCAAAGTGGGGAACGCGTTTCCAAGTTTCCTCTGGAACGCGTTCTAACCGCGTTCCGACCGCGTTCCGACCGCGTTCCGACCGCGTTCCGACCGTGTTCCGACCGCGTTCGGAACGCGTTTGGAACGCGTTCGGAACACGAACGCAGTGTTAGGTTATTTCTGAGCAGTACTGTATATGAATATCGCTAGGCCGATATTAAACAGGTAAAAGACGTAAAACGACATTGCCACTCATTACAATTTTGCTGAATGAAAGCTTTTCCTGCGCTGCGTACAATATTTCACTAGCTAGTCAATATTTCACGGCTTTTATAACAAGTAAATTTCGCAAGTTACACCAGATTTCTCGCAACTTGATTTGCATCTTTCATATCATCGGTAAGTAGTGTTTGTGTGAATATCCTTGCACTATCTAGTGTCTTGCGTTTCGGTGAATATATCCATGCATTATTCCCCTCCACTGCGGCGAATAGTTGCAAACCATTGATACATGAAGTAAAACGAAAGCTTACAGGCATCTTTTTTTAGATGCAGTGAAGTTTTGTTGCTAAGATGTATTGGTACTCACGCCATATATCGCCATGGAGCGCAACAGTGACTGTACCATTGATGTTTCTGATATTTTAGAATGTACCATTGATGTTTCTGATATTACTCCGAGTGTGTAACCACACCGAGCATGATGAGAAGTTTGCCTGACCACGGTTGGAATCGAATACTAGTCAAATACTCTGCCAACTGAGCTACGAAGTCAAATCGGTTCGAGTGTGTGGTATATATTTCGGAACTTTATTATATTCATTTTGAAATCATGCACTATTCGAGAAATCTGATTGGCGAAAAATAGTGCGATTACAGCCCAAACATAATCGCACTTATTTAGATCTGTAATCGCACTATTTTGAGCTTTGCTCACACCAGCATGAGTTGTAATAGACCTTATGCATAATGACGTCAAAAGGCTTGATGCTCGCGAAGAATACTGGTCTTAGTAGTCATCGCCCGGGAAAATTAAACAATTCAAAATGGCCACAATCGAAATTTTCCCGGGCGACGACTACTAAGACCAGCATTCTTCGCAGGCATCAAGCTTTGTGACGTCGTTATACATAAGGTCCATTGCACCATGGTTAATAGAGGAGATGGTTTGGAAACTCATTAGCCTTTCCATAAAATCACAATAAACCTCATTATCTTTGTTGTTCAGGTTTATGCAAAAATGTGGTCTTTCATCGTCACGTGCGTATTGTATTTTTCCCAAGTCAACCAATAGGGATGCTCAAAATAACCTATTGTTGAAGTCATGAATGGGCAACTGAACAAAACCGTTGCTATTGGCTGGTTGGGCAAAAATACAATGCGCACGTGACGATGAAAGACTACATTTTTTAATAAACATGAACAAAAACATAGATAACAAGACGCCGACTCGGCGTTAACCTCGGGTCGGTGGATAAGGCATCGTCTGGTAAATATGCAAAAATAGTGTAAATCACGATAGTTTAATAGTTCACTAGTATAAATGGTGAATCAGACAATCAAAGCTCCGTTTTAACATTTTATTGATAATAATTGCCCATGGGTAAATGTTTATACAGCATTATTAAAAATAATGCCAGCATATGCACACAGAATTATTAGCAATAATGCATCTTCGTCACGCTGACATGTACACGCGATAACGTGAACATCTCAAGATGAGAAGGTGACAGTGCTAAAGGCCCCTCATGCGGTATCATCGGATGCCTGAAGCACTGCCAAAAACAGACACCTTGAGTCCTTTCAGTTCAATTTTATAGAGAAAGCGTTTCGTTTGCGCTTGTGGGATTTTATCCTAGATATACGCATGTGCGGAACACACCATAAGTTATATTCCCGTGTTTATCCAGTTTAATACGCTCTTTGAATTAACTTTATCATTAATGATAATATGTAAACTAGAACACTGTAATTGACCTCCGCTAGTTCCGCTTGTGGAGATTTTAATTTAGGGCGATTAATTAAACTGAAATCTGTTCTATCACGATGCACTACAGTGCCTATGGTTATGTCTATATGCATGTCCTCACATATGTCTAGTGTAGCGTTGGATAGGTTCATTGTCATACGGTCCCGACAAGCAGCAACGTACAGTAGTCTTCCAGGCGAAAATAATTACTTTTGATTAGGCTCAGTAATTATAATAGATAATTACTTCGGCCAACTGGCATTATTGGATATATTGCAGCCAGCTTCGGCGTTCGGCCTCAGGTGGCTGCAATATATCCAATAATGCCGTTGGCCTCAATAATTATCTAATAAATAGTTAAATACAGGAACAATTTAGAGAATTTACTGACGCAATTATTTAAATCTATTTATTCATCCCCGAGCCGACGGCGCGAAGCGCCGTGCGAGGGTACTAATTCCCCCCCGGCTATTTACACCCGGGGAAACGAAAGCATTAGCGGAGTCTAAAGTTCATCAAATATCGCGGGCGTGGGTCACCAACGGTGTTGGGTGGGTGGTCATCCTCACTGATCTCAAAAATATGGCGGACTGTCACGAATAGCGGACACTGATTGGTCCAATTTAAAGTTTGCATTATAACGACTGCATGACGACAGCGAAATAGCAAACATCTCTTGATTTGATGATTGATAAATTTCTTGCAAATATATTTCATTTTTGCTCGCATTTTTGCTAGATTTTGTAAATTTCAAAAGCTCTCTGTCTCTGAGAAAGGAACTGCGAAAGAATCGGCTAAAAGAAGGGAGCCGACGTTAACGAAGGTAAGTTTGTTCTAAATATTGATTTTATAATGGCTTTAAAACCCGACGGATTTTTGCGTATATGAAACAACTAAACAAGACAGCATATAATTTCAGTGTATCTTTAATTAATATTGATTCACTTTATTATGATATTGAATTTTTTAAATAAATAAGAAAGCAAAGTTATTTGCAAGCGAGAATTTTAAATCATTTTATTGCAAACTTAAAGTTTATCGATAAAGGCATTTTAAAAGGCAGTTTAGTTTTATATTAAAGAACACTAACGACTTTAAAACGCTTTGCGAAGCGTTTGTGGTTGAATTTTACCTTAAATCGAGGTTTATATTACGTATAATAACATACCTAAATATATATGTTGGGAAATTAATACTTTTGTGATTAAAAGTGATATTTTATAGGCGATTTTTCATTTGTAAGAACATTCTTAAAAAATTATCGTGTCACCATGACAACTTAGATACTTCATGTTCAGAAAATACAATGGTTTTGCCAGCAAGGCGAGGGTTTCTGCATGCATGTATTTTCTAGTTATTTGGGATATTTTGTGGACGAGTGAATGATATACATAGCTAGCTTTGTTGATTGCACATAGCAGAATGACAGTCACTTCAGATATTTATAAAATATATCAAAGTACCGAAAATATAATTAGGTGCATATAACTGATCCATCATTAGTAATAGTTGTACTACAGTCGAAGAATGTGATAAGTGGACAATTGGCAAAATTGCTGTCTACCAGTTTAATACAGTAAGAACCATACATAAAATGCTTAGCAGTATCAAACAAGTGAAACTTGGCCGCGGTATTCCCATGCTATGCATACGATGTATTGTACATTATATCAACATATACTCGAGAATAGTTGTCCAGCTAAACATGTATGTCAAAATTATCACATCTTCTGGTTTTAAATCAACAATTCTGACGGATTTCGTGCAAGGACAGCTTCGGGTTCCGTTTCGCTTTGGCCGATGCTTGCCGGAAGTACACTTATTTACCGGAAGTTGTCGTCTCCTCCGCAGGCTCTTCGATCTTCGACTACGCGCGCGGCTCGACACAAATGGAAAAAAAAACAATAAAAAAAAAATAGGAGCCGAATTTAAGACCTCGGTGTCGTACCGACCCGAGGTAACAAGGTTTATTGTAATGCTAATGGGTTTCCAAACCATCTCCTCTATTAACTATGATTACACCATTTTTGAAACCAATCATATTGAAGTGGTGCATGATCTTAGGTAGCCAATCAAACGAAAGTCTAGAATTCACTTAGACAGTCAATTTTAAGAAAAATCTGGCAAACTGCGCAAAATAAACATATCAGAGCATTGCCATCTTGGCTGGTTTAGGGTTAGGTTAGGATTAGCTTAGGCTTAGAGTTAGCTGGTTACGGCTAGGATTAGGTTAGGGTTGGGGTTAGGGTTAGGGTAAACAGCCAAAAACTTCTGAATCGATATTGTGTAAAACAAAAGCTGGAAGTTGATATGAATTATTATAATACAAACGATCCAGTAAATTTAAATTTTATGATTTGATGCATTGTAATTATAGGTGAATTTAATAATTAAGAATGTTTTGCACAAGGGAGGAAGATAAATACTGTTATTCGAAGCTTATCAATATCGCGGAAGCAGGATTAACCCCTTATAGAAATTTTATAAGTCCATGTAATTAAACTGATAATTATTATACTGTAGATGATATATTAATGCCTCTTTCTGTACTTTCTTTATTTTTCATTATTCTCTATGTAATAATATCTTTCTATGCAAAAAGGACTGTGTTATTTTTTACTTTGCAAGGAAATTTGGGAAATTAAAATAATTTCAAGAAATTATAGGATTGATTCCTTGTATATTGCTCCAGCGAGCACCGTGTTTCTAGCTCTCGCAAACTAGTACTGCATGGTAGTGATAATCGGCAACCTGCTTTGAGCCAGCAAAGTATCAAACAATCTCAAATTGATCAATAATTCTCATAGTGAATTATCTTAGCCAAACATATAGCTTTATTTTGCACACATGATAATACTGAATACCTGCTGAATTATATTGATCCAGTCATAGGACTGGTTCAAAATTAATTCAATCCTTGCACTGGATCAAAATTAAAAGTAGTGATTTATTTGTATGAGATTTCATTTCAAATCCTCCAATTCGGACTGGACTAGATATCAAGTCCTCGCATTTTGATCCAGTCCTCGGTTTTACCTTGGACGTGATTTGGACTTGAAATGTAGTCCAGTCCTCATATTGCATCTTATACATGAGATACTGAATCATCAGAGAATTCATTCGACGTGTTTTCTTCTTGGCTGAAGGACAACTTACTATTTTATTCTTTTGAAAACATCAAAAACGAGTATAAATTGTATTGAGAAAAACACTATATATTGTGCCACTACCGTGTGCGCAACAATTTTTAGTAAATTGGAAGACTTAATAAGATTCGAATTCAGAAAAGAGAACAACAGGCATGGACAACAACAATATGAAAATTTAAGCGGTTAATTTCCGGCTATTGCCGAATCATCGTCAGAGTAACCGATTTACAAATAATTCTAAACGCGCTCCTTGTATATGTCCAACAAAGCTATTGTGATGCATTGTAATTATAGGTCAATTTAATAAGAATGTTCTGCATAAGGGACTGAGATAAATACTGTTATTTGAAGCTTATTCATATCGCTGAAGTAGGATTAACCCGTTATAGAAATTTTAGTTTAAACATATTTATTTGGTGCAATTGCCCCAAGAGCTCAAGTTGGCTCTTCTAGGGGGCTCTTGCACAAAAATAAAGATTTACATATTCAAGCAACATACGAGAATCACACAACATCTGAGTAATTAACGTTTTAAATATATCACAATCAGCTCATCGCTTTGAAACACGCGTTAATTACATACTTCAACAAGCTCTCAGAAACACAAACGTCGAGAATTTTGTAGCACCTCAGACAGCTTGTTAAACAGCTACTTACAATATTTTTAACCTTATTTACGAACTGAGAAACGAGATGTATCAATTATAAATCTTTGTACAGCAAAAAAACAATCTATGATTTACATTAAAGGCAACGTTATTACATCCAGAATGCAAAAAAGGAAGTTTCCCAGTTCTGTTAGAGTTGAACCAATAATTCCCAAGACATTCTGCAGCCGTAGTAAGTAAAATCGAACGGTACGTAAGTATCCCAAAGCTGGCAACGCAACAAATAATGTTCAGTAGTTTCACAATGGTGTCCGCACGCACAAGTATGAGACGGTATACAATTATGACGGAAAAGGTCATCATTTAAAGTACTATTACCTAACCGAAATCTTCTGTGTAAAACTGAAGGATACCTAGCACCGACTTCGAAAATCTTCGGACGTTTTTTCGCAAAATAGTCTCTTAATTGAATTTTTAAAATTAGTAAAAGATGGCAGATTTCTAATTGAATCAGATAAGGAATTCCAAGCAGATATAGCCGATGGAAAGAACAACTGTTGAAATCTAGATGAAGAACATAGAAAATTGCATATAATTATCATCACCGGTTTGGTACGACAAAATAAAGATAGTCGGGAACCATTCTGTTCTTACTTTTGTATAAAACTGACTATCTGTGAATATATCGTCTGGTTTCTAATTTATCCCAAGAGAGTTCTTCTAGCAGAGATACCCGGTTAGTGCCTTTTAAAGCGCCAGTAACAAGGCGAGCTGCATCAAATTGAATTCTTTCGACAGCATTACTGCTCTCAGGCCCACAACCATCCCATATAAAATCACCATATTCCATTAAAGGTCTAATTAAAGAAATATATATGCTATTCAATGTACAGTGTGTCCCCAAAAAAGTACCCTGTACAGAAAGTATCCTATTGTTATAAGGGTACCTTTTTGGGACACACTGTAGATCTGTTCAGACGAAATCTCAAACCTTTTAGCATATATTTTCAATCTTTTGGCCGCTCTTTCGCTAATATAATACATATGTGATTTTGCCAGGAGAGATCACTTGAAAGATTAATGCCTTAGTGACCATGCAATTTAACGTCTCGTATAGTCGCTTGATTTAACAAAAATCAAGGGTGATCAGGCTTGTTATTCTTAACAAACAAAAATCATATAGATCGTGTTTTACTGGGATTCATGGTAACTAGATATAGATGCATGATCAGTATTACACTTTACAGCAGAGGTTGTTGGAGAATCTATCACATCTAAAATCATAGTGTCGTCAGCAAATAAAAAAGCCTCAGATTGTATATTATTAGTAATATCGTTGATGTAAATCAGAAACAGGAGTGGCCTTGGGTTATTCCAGCATTGACTTTTTCCCAGTTAAAATTGGTCCCCTCCACAACTACTCGTTGAAAACGATTAGAGAGATAGCTCGCCAGCTATTTTAGTAATGTACCTTTGACTCCAAGAAATTTCAAGTTGTTATCAACCCCTCGGGCCAAACTTTGTCAAATGCCTTACTAATATCTAGAAACACAGCTCTTACTTCTTTTCCTTCTTCTAAGCTAGAATATATTTGATGAACAACATATGTTAATTGCAAAACAGTTGAATGGTCAGGACGAAAGCCGGACTGTAAACTATGTAATCGATCAAGCAGTTATAAAGGCGAACAAAAACTATTTAATTTTTTCGCAAATTTTAGAAAACTTGGTAGTAGGGACACAGGACGATAATTAGATTTTATGTTATGTTCATCCTTCTTAAAAATAGGAAAGACAAATTTCCATTGTTTGCATGGAATATTGACCTAGAGAAAGGGATATGTTAATTAATCTGGTGAGACGGTAATAAATAGTATATGTACAAAGTTTAAATCGTACGATTCCCAATGCCGTCTTGGCCGCATGATTTAGAAATATCAACACTTAAGAACAATTTTAAAGGAGCAGTGTCACCTGGTGCGTATCTTTTCTGCGCATATAACAAAAAAATTTTGAAAAAAGTCGGAAAATGTAGTTCTCTACGACATTCAAGCTCTACGGTACGAAACTATGCATATTTCTGCATATAATTTGTTAATTCGCCTCCCGAAACGGCCATATTGAATTAAAAAACTTGAAAAACTACTGCCGTAATTTTTCGCGTCTGCAGAAAAGATGCGCACCAGGTGACACTGCTCCTTTAACACTGCATCAGGATTGGCAACAATACTGGACAGCGATGAGTTCGGCGAAAACTGACTAGCAAAATGCGGTGGAGGGCGTTGTGGATCCAGTGTTGCCTGGGAAACAAAATAATCATCGAAAAGTTGCGCCTTTTCCTTCGGATCGTAACATAAATATCACTTTCTTTCAAGGGTGGAATTGAAGAACATATATAATTTTGTGCCGTATATGGATTTAACTATGCACTCCCCACCATTTCTTTGCACTTATTTTGGGATTATTACCTAACATAACATTTAATTTCACATAATAAGAGGCTTTTTCTTTCCGAATTATGCTGACCGTTAAATTACGCTGAGTTTTGTAAAGATTCCAATCCTTAGGACGTTTGTTTTATTCTATACTTTGCGCAACAATCTGTTACGCCTACGTATTGATCGTTTAATTATACTGTTCATCCAGAGTTTATCATTTGGACGAACAGCAATTACTCTCGAATGTATAAAGTTATTTACAATAGTAAGAAATCGTGAAAAAGAGATCTCATAGAGGGTGTCTATATCATAAACAGTAGTAAACTACTCAGGAGGTTTTCGTTTACCACATTAAAATTATAAGTAGTCCTCTTATACGCTCTATGACTGTTTAATTTTGGCAACAATAGCATTATGGTCACAATTTGCTGGTGGGCTAAGTGTAAATTGACTCGTACAATACATAGGGAGTAAGTCCAAAATGATTTCATTAGTTGCAGTGATTCGAGTCGGTTCCTCAATTAATGGAACAATTGCTCTCCTGCCAGCTAACTGAGCTAAGAATTAAGAATAGACACATACAGCTTTTGTGTGGGAGAATGGGTTATGGGGGTGAAGTACTCCTGTTACAATAAGTGTCACATTATATGTATATTTAACCAAACAGACTCTTTATGTCCTTATATTTCATCCTGCGGGGTATATATAAGGCCCGCTCTGATAACCCTAGGGGTAATGGTCCCTAGGGCTGCCCGGGGGATAAGGGTCCCCAGAGCTGCTCTGGGGGTAAGGGTCCCCAGAGCACATGCCAGAAGGGTAGCGACCCCCTCTGACCTTATTAACCTGAACCAAGGGGTAAGGGTCCCTTGGACAGTTCCTATAACTCGGCCGATTATATTTACATTGAATGAGTCTATGCATGGGCATGAAGGTGACCTTTGGGAGCACTTCAACCCCACAAATACAATAAAGTGTATCTGACACTTGAGTGTATTCCCCATAGACGAACAATCCCACTCCCACAACAGCTGTATTCATATAGAGGACAGCTTTTGCCAGATGATAGTAAGGCTTGTGCATGTTTGAGAATTACCATCGCTTATACTACAGCTGGATAGTCAGGGAGGCCAGGAAAAACCTGCAATACAGGAAACCTGAATGGGGCCAAGACAATTAACCAGCAGCTTCCCCACAAAGCTTCTATGTTACAACTTCTCAATAGGAGCGTTGGTAACGCGACAAACATAGCTCTATCTTGGCAATTTTTTTTTTTTTATTTTAATTTTTTTTTTAAAATTCATTTATTCTTTCACTCAGTTTTAAGTGTTTTTGAAGAGACCCAATATTTGCCGAACTCTTTGTCTAGCCAAATCGTTTGCTTGGTGAAGTAACTACTAATTAATTAAGCATAGAGGATTAGAGCGTTTCCAGTTGAGACATAAATCTTGGAATAGAGCCTATGTAGGCATAAAACTTTATTACACTTCCCGAATGAGAAAGTTTATTAATTAAAATACCGTTTGTCTGTTTTCCGGTCGAGAAAACGATGGTGAAATGGCAGTCGCGTTTAATGCAGTGGACGATAACAGACAGAACATATTTTTGACTTTTTTGTTTAATATTGTTGCAGTTTGCTTGAATTTTTCAACGTATCATAAAGGAAAGTATTCGTATAATACAGCTTCTTGGTTTATTCGGTATTGCATTGGTTGGGACCTCGCCTGTCTACACTACAGACCAGTTTTTAATTATTTGAAATCCTTAGTTTTATTATACAGATATGAAATTGGCAACAATGTTGATTGTTTATACTGTATTATCATTGTGTTTCCCTCCCAGATCGAAAGCGTTGCAATACTGATAAATAAAATATATATACACAGTGCCAGTCAGTGGTCTTATTTTACCTTTCATTATAAACATATCCAAGCTTTTACAGTCTATATAAACTATAGACATAGTAAAACACACATGACATTGTTATTGAATATTGAGTATTGTGTCTATTGAGTATTGACTGATTTTATATATCGGCATCGTTATTTTTAGAGTACAGTACATCGTCAATATATACAACTGTCTCTACTGTATTTTCTTCAAGAAAAGAAAATTCAACCGCAACGCAAAACAACATTGAATTATTAAAGTATACTATGACGTATATAGATAGTAGCGCTATATAATTATGATATTACAGCACTGGAGATGCCATGTAG